TGAACTGTCTTCTGTATGTGTGTGGTTGTGCTGTATGTCAGTGAGAGTCAGCGCCGACAGCTCCTTCAGTCATTATAAACGGATCTTCTGTATAGATTATACACACTGGAGACTGACCTGAGAACAGAGCGACCCCGTCAGGTAATGAAGCCATGAAGAGCAGACTCAATTACTCTGTGAGACACACATGTGGAGCTCCGGCCTGATCGATACGCTCCGGGAATTATTCCTGCTCCTGCAGCGAGGGTCAGAAAGCCCTGAGTTTGTGTGATTGTGTCGAGATTCAGCCGGCAGATGAGCATCACAAATAGAGCTCGATGTGTTTTAGAGTTCACGGCGTCGCTGATGATCACAAAACAACGAAACAGCCTGATCACATCTAACATCTCTATATCACAGACATCACACTTATACATATAACATTTCCCACATTTTACAGTTTATAACTTTAATATACCATATTACATTATTAGATATCATATATTGCATTTATATTACTTTTATAAACCATATTACATGTGCAGTATATATAACATTTATATAACATTGTTCATTTCTATAAAACACTTTTAATTTCCACATTTGACATTTTCATATAACATTTTTATTTACTATATATTACATTTATATTAGACATTTTTAATTGCAATATAACATTTTTATAAACCGTGTTACATTTAACATAACATTTTTAATTTCCACATATTAAATTTTAAATTATTTTTAAATAACTTTTAAATTCCATATAACATTTATATACTACATATTACATTTATATGTACCATTTAAATCCCAAATAACATTTTATATATAACATATATATATATATATAACATTTTATTTGACATTTATATAACATATATATAACATTTGCAACATTTTATTTGATTAATGTATAACATTTTACACTTTAATTCCTATATAACATTTTGTATACCATATTTTACATTTATATATAACATTTATATATTATATAACATTTTTATGTCCCATATATTATTTTTATATAACACATAACATTATTAATTTCCACATATTACATTTTATATAACTTTTTTTATGCCACATAACATTTTGACTCTCTATATATAACATTTTATATTCAATATATAATTTTTCTACACCATATATAACATTTATATCTCATATAACGTTTTAAAAACTCACTATTGGTTTTAAAATGTGTCTTCGTTTAGCATCACTTGGGAAATATTTGTAAAAGAATTTAAATATTTCTCTGGCAGGTGAATAATATTGACTTCCATCCAGACAGGAACTTGTCTGTCATATGTGTGATTTGCATATATTACCATATATCAGATTTCTATGTGGGGATTGTTGCTATGGCATGTTTATCAGATTGTAATGCTCGAGTGATGAGCACATATGAACATAAACACCAGCACCAGTAAACGTCTGCCTTAACTGCAAATGTAGAGACTAACACTGAGACATTAAAGCCAAATCCTCACAACAAAAGCAGCGTATCACTGATTTATCTAGACAGAAAACACATTCAGTGTTCAGAGTGCCAGCGGCGGGGCAGCCAGAGCATTCTGTGAACATTCTTGATGTAAAGATCTACCATCTGACATCAGAAACCTCAATATTTTTGTATTCATATTAATCAGTTTGCCTGCAGTAAGATAAAGCGTGACCATAATCAATGGCTGATTTACACACACTCACACACACTTACTTTATTCTTTCAGTGTTTGAGTTTAACTTACTTTAATTGTCATTGTTGTGAATATTTGATTCTCTCGAGCCATTTTATTTATTTATTTTTAGGCACGAATAATAATTTGGAAAGTTTGAGAATGATGTGAGATTGCCAAAAGCAGTCAGAGATGCCTTTTTGTCAGCAATATTAATTAAAAACTGAATCTGACTCACATTTATTCTCCAAGAAGCGTAATTTTGCCCAAAAAAAAGAAAAAAAAAGTCATGCATTGATGAATAGCTTGTAAAAGCTCCATCTGAGAGTTGTTTGCTTGCATAGGGTTAAATAAAAAATGATTCACCTCCTGTCAAATATTCATTCTTCAAATATTTCCCGAGAACAGTTTCACAGTATTTGATCATTTATTTTTATTCTTGAAAAAGGCTTACTTCTTTTAGTTTGGCTGGAGTAGAAATTATATATATATATATATTCGTTCATTCATTCATTCATTCATTTTCTCTTCGGCTTAGTTTCTTTATTAATCTGGGGTCGCCACAGCGGAATGACAATTTAGCCAACCCAGTTCTCCTATAGTGCATGTGTTTGGACTGTGGGGGAAACCGGAGCACCCGGAGGAAACCCACACCAACACGGGGAGAACATGCAAACTCCACACAGAAACACCAACTGACCCAGCCGAGACTCAAACCAGAGACCTTCTTGCTGTGAGGTGATCATGCTACCAATGATGCACTATATATTTAAAAAATGTAAAATATATAGACTACACTGTCACTTTAAGCTGAATACTAGTGTCTTAAATAACTAGTAAAAGATGATGTACAGAGAATAGTACATTTAGTAGTACATTCAATAACAAAATAGTGATTAGAATTTAATTATTAAAATAAAAAAACTGCACTTAAAAAGCATTAATTTCATATCATTAGGAGACTTTGACAATTGAAATTAATCAGTCGTCATCACTGCAGTGTGTGTGTGTGTGTTTGTGTGTGTGTGTGTTTGTGTGTGTGTGTGTGTGTGTGTGTGTGTGTGTATGTGTTTGTGTGTGTGTGTGTTTTCAGAGATGCCTTTTTGTCAGCAATATACGTACATAAAAATTGTATATCCTATTTAGAAAAATATTATATGCAAATTATGATTGCAATGCTATGAAGTTGTTTATTTCATCTAAAGTATTTAGTTTGAAATCAAACTTGAGTACACTGTATGTCTGCACGATATGGGAAAATGTTCATATTGCGATTATTGTATATTATAAATGGCATCGTGAGTCAGGTTGATGGGCTTTTAGGACAAATGTACACATAGATTAGTAATAATGAGGAATTTAAGATGCACTTTGTAATATTGTAATTGTAATATTCTTGGCTGATGCTGAGTTTTTCAGACTTCAATTTACTTTCTAAGAACTATAGCTATAATAAATTCATAATAATATAAATAAATACTAATAAAAAAGTCAACATCAGTTTCTCATAAACTGCATAACAACACTAACAAGACAGAATTTTCCACAGTCAATAAATATAAATATAAACAGCTGAAATCAGAATTATTGGCCCAAATATTTCACAAATGATGTTGAACAGATTGAGGAAATGTTCACAGTATGTCTGATAATATTTTTTCTTTTGGAGAAAGACTGATTTGTTTTATTTCGGCTACAATAAAAGCTTTTTTTTTTTTTTTTACTTTTTAAACACCATTTTAAGGTCAATGTTATTAGCCCCTGTAAGCTATATTTGTTCAATAGTCTACAGAACAAACCATCATTATACAATAACTTGCTTAATTACCCTTAACCTGTCTAGTCACCCTAATTACCCTAGTGAAGCCTTTACATGTCACTTTAAGCTGTATAGAAGTGTCTTGAAGAATATCTAGTCTAATATTATTTACTGTCATCATGATGAAGAGAAAATCAATCAGTTATTAGAGATGAGTTATTAACACTATTATGTGCAGAAATGTGCTGCAGAAATCTGCTCTCTGCTAAAAAGAAAATAAACAGGAGGGCTTTTAATTCTGACTGTATAAAGAAAACAAGTGTATATAAAGCAATAAGACAAAGCTGACTGTTTTCCGCTGCTGTAATCTGCTATTCGTGCATCTCAAACTGAAAGATATTTTCCTGCTAATATGACAGCCCTGATGTGATGAAGATAGCTGTGTGTTTGTGTTGTTTAGCAGCACAGAAATGCTAAAACTATTGTCAGAGAGTGTGTTATCGATAGTGTAATCGCCACATTTCCCCATGGTATAAGCGCACACTTGCTGACATCATGACTGTGACGTGGTTCATGCTGCAGCGGGAGAACACGGCTCTGCACATCAAACATGCTGACCTCCAGAAACCCTGTCAGACAACAGAGGGAATACAGACAGCTGCTGTCTGTGCAGTGTTTGGGTCTATGTTGCACGTTTGACATTTTATTCATGTGAGCTATGAAACTCAGTTGTGATGATACTGTATGTCATTTGCATGTCATTTGCATATATTACCATAAATCAAAAACATTTAATTCTTTTGCAAACTGTGTGGTGTAGTCCAACTGATGGAGCATTGACTGAGAACAAGCACACAAACCCATCCAAGAGCTGGAGGATGAAGCGCAGATGGTGTCTGAGATGAACACACACACACACACACACACACACACACACTCTCGTCCTGCTGCTCAAAACACAATTAACATGATGGAGACTCGTCATTCTCAATACACTGAAGAGAAGCAGAGTCCTGTTTACTGCAGAGAGAGAATCATCTGTGTGTGTGTGTGAAGAGAAGCAGAGTCTTGTTTACTGGACAGAGAATAATCTGAACATCAGCAGATTCTGAAGACCCTCACTGCTGCAGCTGTGTGTGTGTGTGTGTGAGAATAATGTGAAGAGTGCAGCTGTTTGTGTGTTTGAGTTAGGTTGTGTCTGTTTGTTTGCGCTTGTGTGTGTGAAGGTGTGAGAGTGAGTGTGTATGATTGTATTTGAGTGTGTGAGAGCGTGTGTATTTTGTTTGAGTGGGTGTGATGGCGTGTGTGTTTGTAAGCGTATTTGTGTGTGTATTTCTATATGTTTGAGTGTGATTGTGTGTTTGTAAGTGTATTTGAGTGATGATGTGTGTGTGACAGAGTATGTGTGTTTAAGTGAGTGACCATGTGTATCTGAGTGCATCTGTTTCATTGTGTGTGTGTTTCCTGCTCAACACACACACAGTAGTGGAATCTGTGTGTTTTTGTAGTCTGGCAGTTATAGCACCAGTGTGTGTGTGTGTGTGTGTTTCAGTAAAGATTAAACAACAGCGACACCCAGTGGTGGAGAGTCTGCAGCTTTATTGAGAGTCTGAGAGGAACTGCAGCAGAACATTCATGTACGCACACACACACACACACACACACACACACACACACACACACACACACACACACACACACAGGATTAGGACAGACACAATAAATCAGCTATTAAACTAATATATTGAGAAGTAAAGTGGATCTCTCAGTTAAACAGCTGTTGTGGAACAGATTGAACATCTCTGTCTCCAGGCCTCAGCTCTCGTTCTCTTCCACTGATGATTGGAGGTCTGGGTCAGGGATGATGTGAACTGATCTTCCCTCATGATGTTGTTCTGCTGGTCATGTGGTCATGAACACTCTTCAGGTCTGCAGAGCGACTGCTTTCTGCTGTTTATTATAATAATGTCAATAGCGTCGCTGTTATTTGTGTTTGTTCACTGTTAAACACAGCAGTTTCCAGATTTAGTCAAGTGTTTATTTATGATGGTGAAGTGCTTTATGGGATGTTGATCTGCTCTGTCCACTGCTGATGTTGTAAAGTCAACTCTACAGTTTACCAGAGAGACTTCTAGCAGTTTAAAATAATATAAGAGATCATCTGCAGAGGAATGAGTGTGTAGAGTATCAGTGAATGTGCTGCAGTTTACCACGAGGCTTCTGTAGCGTAATACACAACACCATCGATATATACACTAGATGTTGCCTGGCCTGTTGTTGTCTATTGGACGGAATGCGTCAATAGCGCCGCCATCTTGCTACAGGGTAGCGCTCCTTTGAACTGAATGCGGGACCAAGGTACAGTGGAGGACTGTGGCCATGCAAAGCCAGAGATATACACATATACACATATATCTGTGATCGGGAGTTTTCCTGGATGTTAGTATGTCATTTTTTTTTCTAATTAAGAAAATTATAATTTGACATCACTTTTCTACATTGATGGATCAGTGACCGCACGGGCATTCCTGACATAATGCTTGTGTTTGTGTGTACAGAAATGTATTATCCACCCTCCCTGTTAAATCTGATCTCATCATGTCCTGAAACACAGCTCCTCTCCTGCTTTCACTGCTCATACTGACGGAGAGAGCGATTCGCTTGTGAATGAATCCCCCGAACGACTCTTTCACAAGCCGACAATACCAGTTTCTGGCAGCGCAGCATCTCGTTGTCATGTTTCTTTTGCATTGTTTGCTGATTTTATTCAACAAAACCAGCATTAGCCGAGTGTTTAGTGTGAGTTGGAGCTGCTTTGCCGTATGCTGAATGCAGTAAGAGACTGTTATCATCAATAACGTGACCTGATTAGCACAAACGTTCAGAACATACAAAAACAGAAAAAACTTGATATTATCTATGAAATGTTCTGCCTTTGTGCTTTGTTTTCTTTGTTTGCTCGTTACTACACCCGTAGACAGCGCTAAAGTCCCGCATCTTCACGTAATAACACTGTCTTGACTAGTGCGGTTGAATGACACTTGTCCTGAGAGCACTGTACCAATATGGCGGCGCTATTGACGCATGCTCAGGGTCCCTATGCGATATCTAGTGTATATATCTATGACACAACACACACACAATAGAGCACTGCACACTATCACACATGTGCAGGACACACACTTTCACACACTGTTTAAGGTTAAAAGTTGTTGGAAGAAAGATCAAGATCCCATAATGCAACACAAGCAGAAATGAAAACAGGAGCCAGTAAATATGGAGCGCTGCTGATGTCTGGATGTTACTGATCAGGCACCCCGAACACCTCCACCTCACACAGGCTCAGGGTCCTGTTTACTCCAGCCAGAGCCACAGTCACGTATCGGCCCCGGAGAGCAGGAACACACCTGAAGCGGCCTGTTCCTCCAGCAGGGATGAAGGACACGGACACACACCTGAAACACACACACACACACACACACACACACACGCATCAGGTATAGAGCTGCACAATATCCGTCTGCACAGAGTGAGTGGCTGAGGAAGCATGGAGTATTATGCTAGTGGTGCAGTGGGTAGCACAATAGCCTCACAGCAAGAAGGTCTCTGGTTTGAGTCTCGGCTGGGTCAGTTGGTGTTTCTGTGTGGAGTTTGCATGTTCTCCCCGTGTTGGTGTGGGTTTCCTCCGGGTGCTCCGGTTTCCCCCACAGTCCAAACACATGCGCTATAGGGGAACTGATCAACTACACTGGCACTAGTGTATGAGTGTGAGTGTATGAATGTGTGTGTTTGTGTTTTCCTGGGTGTTGACAGATTAATTGATTATTAAAATAATCGTCAGTTGCAGCCCTTAGTATTTTCTGGAGCAGCACAATAGTCTTATTTTCAGAAATAATGACTCAAAATGAAGAAAATTTCTCCTAAAAACAAGCAAAATAATGTGCCGGCTGCAGGAAAACTGCCCCTGTGTCCTCTGTAGAGCAGCATTGTGTCTCTTCCTCCACTGTGGGGTTATTCAGCTTGGTTTAATAATAAACTCTCTTCATTTTCACTTGTTTAGGACAATGCTTTGTGCTCGTCTAGATAGTGCTGAGTTCAGATGTCAGGCTAGTATGGTGTGTCTCCTACAGCGGGTTTGCTCGTCCCTCGTCCTGCAGCGAGTCCCCGATGGTCACCCTCGCGCCGCTGACGTCCTGGTCTCCGCGGGTCAGAGCCACTGCAGTGATGGTGTGTGTCCGCAGCAGGTCCAGCCTCCACCAGGGGGCGCTCTCGGTGTCTGTCTGCGCACATGAGCCGCGGGACGGGTCGTACTGCCGGTTCCCGTCGATGGCGTTCTGTGGCAGACTGAGACACGCAGCAGAACCCAGACGCGTGCTGGACTGAGTGGCTCGACCCGATACTGCCACATTCACCAGCTCTGAGTCTGAGTTAGAGTCTGAGGGAGGAAACACACACACACACACACAGCTTTACTGACACAAACACAAGCTTGTGTGCTGTTAAATCCATAAAAAGAATCAGTTCATAGGAATCGTTTGTTTGTGAATCAGAATCATCTTGCTCACAGGTGTCAAACTCAGGGCCGCAGCTCTTAGTTTTAACCCTGATTAAACACACCTGATCAACTGAATGGGGTTCTTCAGGCTTGGTTGAAACCTACAGGTGAGTGTGCTGAAGTAAAGCTGGAACTAAACTGTGCAGAGCTGCGGCCCTCCAGGAGCTGGAATTCACACCAGTGCTCTAGCTGCTTTGTTTCTGAATCACTGGGAAGAACCAGTTCGCATGAGCCACTTGTTTGTGAATCAGAATCCTCTAGCTGCTCTGTGTCGTTCTGAATCATTGGAAGGAACCAATTCATGAGTCATTTGTTTGTGAATCAGAATCATTTAGCTGCTTGCATTGTATCTAAATCACTGGTAAGAAACGGTTCATAAGAGTCATTTGTTTGTGAATCAGAATCCTCTAACTGTCCTGTGTGTTTCTGAATCATTGGAAAGAACCGATTTGTAAGCATCATTTGTTTGTGAGTCAGAATCATCTAGCTGCATTGTTTTTGAATCACTGGAAAGAACTGGTTCAAAAGAGTCATTTGTTTGTGAATCAGTCATCTTACTGCTTTTTTGTTTCTGAGTCACTTAAAAGAACTGGTTCATGAGAGTTTTTTGTTTGTGAATCAGAATCATCTAGCTGCTTATTTAGTTTGCTCAGATTGTTTCTGAATCACTGAGAAGAGCCAGTTCATAAGAGCATACCAAACCATATTGTTTTTTGGTCCCCTATTTTAGGCTGTTTTCCTCTTGTCAGAAAACTAATGAATGTGTGTCATGATCTGTGTGTGTGTGTGTGTGTGATTTACCTTCAGCGAGCGCGAACACCTCCACCTCACACAGATTCAGCACACGGTCCACTCCTGGTAAAATCACACTGATGAAGCGTCCCTCCACAGGCCTGAACTTAAACACCTGAGCTTTCCCCGGCCGCACAGAGAACACTCTCACCCTGAAAAACACCGACACTGACGTCAGGAACACACCTGCCCACCCTGCCCAGAGCCCCCCACACTCGCCTGTTTCCCCCAGTCACTCACACTTTACTGTAATGCCCAGTTCAATAATAATAATAATAATAGATGCTGTTTATTTTCATACAGTGTGTTTAACACCTAATTCCCATACACTGCACCCCAAATAACACACTGTACACCATGCACACACACACACACACACACACTCAACAGCAGAGCAGATGAACTCTCCCAGACCACATTTGATGCCAAATTACTGAAGTAAACGATCAAACCTAATTATCTGCTGTATGAATAGTTAGTAAGGCAGTCGTTTGGTTTAGTTTAAATTACAATTCACTACATCCTTCACTGCTGGCGGATGACCTGCCTATTATTAAGATCGGAGCGGTTTATGAGCACTTATAAAGTAGAATCTGTAATCCAGCCCAATAGCTAAACCCGGCTACCACCACACGAACTCATCCATGACTATGACTGAGCTGAAGCTGGCGTACAGCTGGTTGTGGTTTCCGTCCTCCTCCAGACTGCTGCCGATGCGGATCTCGGCCCCGCTGATGCCCTCAGTGCCGGTGCTGATGGAGATTTTGGCGATTCTGTAGGTCTGTGCTAGAGAAACTCTCCACCAGGGGCTTCTCTTCGAGCTGATGGAGCTGCAGGACCGATCTCCATCTCCAGCCACTGCTCTCCATGCGGAGTCTCCGTTCAGCGGGTCAGCGGACTGATGGGTTTTAGCTCTCAGAGCGATGTTTCCTGAACATCAAGCACAAACAGCCCAGTATTAGTCACAACATCAAGCACAAACAGCCCAGTATTAGTCACAACTCATTCATAATAATAATAAACTGATTGATATAAGTCAACTGTTTGCTTCTCTAAAAGAATCGCTTTATAAGAATCAACTAAACGAACTGCTTCAAGAGTCAACTGTGTTTCTCTAATAAGAACTGCTTCAAGAGTCAACTGTGTGCTTCTATAAACAAAAAATATTCATAAGTCAACTGAAAGAACTTATGAATCTTTTTTTTAAAGTCCTATGAATCTGAGTCAATTGTGTGCATTTCTAAAAAGAGCTGATTCATAAAGTAAACTGTGCATTTAAAAAAAAAAAAGATTCATTAGTCAACTGTGTGTTTCTATAAAAATAACCGATTCGTAAGAGTCAACCAAAAGATCTGATTCATAAGAGTCTACTGTCTGCATTAAAAAAACTGATTCATGGGAGTCAACTGTGCATTTAAAAAATTATTCATAAGAGTCAACTGTGTGCTTCTATGAAAATAACCGATTCGTAAGAGTCGTAACTGCGTGCAATAAAACATTATTCATAAGAGTCAACTGTGTGCTTCTATGAATACAACCGCTATGTAAAAATCAACTAAATGAACTGATTCATAGGAGTCAACTGTGTGCTTTCCTAAAAAGAACTGATTCGTAAGTCAACTATGTGCATTTAACCAAGAATGATTCATAAGAGTCAACTGTGTGCTTCTATGAATATAACCAATACGTAAGAGTCAACTAAATGAACTGATTCATAGGAGTCAACTGTGTGCTTTCCTAAAAAGAACTGATTCATAAGTCAAATATGTGCATTTAACCAAGAATGATTCATAAGAGTCAACTGTGTGCTTCTATGAATATAACCAATACGTAAGAGTCAACTAAATGAACTGATTCATAGGAGTCAATTGTGTGCATTTCTAAAAAGAACTGATTCATAGTCAACTCTGAATGAAAAAAAAAATGGATTCATAAGAGTCAACTGTGTGCTTCTATGAAAGTAATCGATTCGTATGAGTCAGCTAAAAGAACTGATTCATAAGAGTCATCTGTGCATTTCTAAAAGGAACTGATGTAATCTCTAACCGCTGGCAGTGAGTTGTTTGCTGTTGTGCATTATCTGGCTGTATGCAGTGTTGTTAATAGTTATGATTTGTTCTGCACCACATGTAGACGCTGATCAGGGCAGGATTCAGCAGTGTTGATGTAGATTCAGTAGTGTTGCAGCATTCTTCAGCCAGAAATGATCGCTCTCTGCATCTGATGTGGTCATGTCTGACGTGTCTCTTTTATTTCTTCATGCAGCAATTTCTGACAGCAGATAATACTGTTTACCTCAGCTTTACCCTGGTGCCTGAACACTGTTTCATGCGCATCATTACAGCGCTCATCAGTGTTGGAGTTGTGTAATATTATGACTCTTCTAAGTAACGAGTAATGTGAGACTTTAAGAAAATGAAAAGTGAGTGACCTTCCAGTTGAATTATTTAGCTTTTAATAAACTAATTTACATATTCACATTAAACCACTCACCATAACGAGTCATTTAATAACACAACTAATGACTGTTTAGTGTTGAAACTCAATATAGTAACACATTAAGCATTGCTGTACCTGTGAGTCTGAAGGCTGTAGAGTCACACACACACACCAGCAGCAGCAGCACAGCCAGCATCACCACCGTCATCCCTATACACACACACACTTACACAGCATCTGATGAAGGTTTACTATAGTAAGAGTTCAGTGTCAGTACTCACTGCGGTGTCGTCTGCTCTCCGTCTGATCTGAGCTGCACAACTCCAGCTCAGGGTGTGTTTATTAGATATACTGATACACAAGTCATGCTGATTGAGCAAACACACACACACACACACACACAAGATTCTGACACTGTTAAAATTAACACCAGTCAGAGATCAGTGTGCAGATGGGTACACACTCCATACATACACACACTCAAACACACATTCCATATATACACACTCCATACAAACATATGCAAACACACACACTTATACACACTACACAAAACACACTCTGACACACAAACAATCTATACACACACATTACATAGACAATCAAACACACAATACAAACCGTACATTAACTCTATACACAAACACCATAAACACAACTCCACACACACACACACACACACACACACACACAGACGGGGCGTAGGTTTGGTTGTGACACTTCTGCATTGATGATGAGTCCTGAAATACGCTGCTGCGCATCACCTTATCTCCACATCAGCGTGACTGTGATGTTCAGGTTGTTTGAGGATCCTCTGTATTGAGTGTAGTTTTGCTTCTGTTGCTCTCGGCTTCATCTGATTAGTCCATTCAGTCTGCTGCATTACCCTGATCACATCATGTGCTTATTTTACAACAAACACACACATTAGAGTTCTAGTGGACTTACCTCTATAACACACACACACACACACACACACACACACACACACAATTCAACAAATATTGCATTAAAATAACTTCAGAATCTGATTTAATTCATGTAATTAAATAACTAAACATTCATTCATTTTCTTTTCGGCTTAGTTCCTTTATTAATCAGGGGTCGCCACAGTGGAATGAACCGCCAACTATTCCAGCATTTGTTTTACACAGCGGATGCCCTATCAGCTGCAACCCAGTACTGGGAAAATAACTAGCATGATTGTAGATAAATTATTTAAACTGCATAAAATGTAAAGCATCAGACTCAGAAATCATGCAAATATTTGACATTATGTGTTAATTACACAGGCCCACACGGAATCTGTACATGCAGAATTAATCCATCATTAATTCTATTTATTTACCTGTGTAAATTTATATTTATTCAGTTTTTTACTTAATTACAATAATTATTATGACTAATATGAAAATATTCATGTTTTATTTACAATACAGTGTGTAAAGTCATTAGTTCTGTCCTTTAGCAGAGATATTATATGAGAGATTTGCTTTGTTTACTGAATAAGTGGATTTAATTGGGACTGTATTAAAACATTGAATACAAGTTAAAAGGTATTACTATCTATTTCATATATTCAGGTTTTAGTTATGATACTCCCAAAATCATTCCACATAAATCTGCAGATCTTTAACAAAATTCTGCGCAGAAACAGCAAAAAATGTCCGCAGATTCCGTCTGGATTCCTACTCAATACATCAGGGGTGTCTAAACTCAGTCCTGGAGGGCCGCTGTCCTGCAGAGTTGAGCTCCAACTCGCTTCAACACACCTGTTAGGAAGTTTCCAGTATATCTAGAAAGAGCTTAATTAGCTGGTTCAGGTGTGTCTGAATTAGGGTTGGAGATGAACTCAGGACACTGGCCCCCCAGGACCGAGTTTAGACACCCCTGCTTTATAACATAAACATTGAACCATTTATAATGGATGGCCTACCTTTCATTTCATTTTCCTTTGGCTTAGTCTCTATTTCAGAGGATTCCACAGCGGAATGAACTGCCAACTATTCCAGCATGTGTTTTACACAGCAGATGCCCTTCCAGCTGCAACCCAGTACTGGGGAACACCCATACACACTCATACACTATGGCCAGTATAGTTGATCAGTTCCCCTATAGTGCATGTGTTTGGACTGTGGGGGCACACTGGAAAACCCACGCCAACACAAGGAGAACATGCAAACTCCACACAGAAATGACTACTGACCCAGCCGGGACTCTTGCTGTGAGGCCACAGTGCTGACCACTGAGCCACCGTGTCGCCCCGCTTCACCTCAGTTTAATTATGAACTGTAGTGTAAATGCTAATCTAGTGTCGAAACATGAACGGTTATCTTCAACATCAGTCATTCCTTTACAATGAAGAACAGCTCCAGCAAAATCTGACTATATCCAGAACTGCACTGCACTGCTGATCTGAGCAAATGAAAAGCGACTCCAATCTGATTTAGTATTAATTTTCAATTTATTAGCAATTATTTCCAGTCAAAGAGAACAAACTGAAATGTGCAACAGAGAATCAGAAGCAGTGATGGACTGTCCTTCATATCAACACACACACACACACACACACACACACACACACACACACACACACACACACACACACACACGTGCCTTTCAGAGTCACCTTCACACACTTTCAGCACAAACACCTGTGTTTACCAGAGTCTAGTAACCCTGTGTGTGTGTGTGTGTGTGTGTGTGTGTGTGTCGTCACATGCCTTCATCTGAGTCTACAGTACACAAGACCGGTTATGCACACATTAAACACACATTATTCTAGACAAGTGCTCCACGTTCTCAGAGGGGTTTCAGTGCTTCAGTGTCAGCTGAGAGTTTCTGGATTTCTTGAATTCTGGGATTTTATCAGTGGTTAAGAACATGAAACTAAATCTCAAACGTTTATTCTTCAGTTTAACTCAAAACCAGACGGTGTCGTCCTTCAGGGAGCGGTGTGTAACACAGAGAGAGAAACTAACAACACACAGATACTGCGAGCAGACTCGAGATGTCTGACAGCTGAAACTGGACCAAACATATCCATTAACCCCAGATTAGTGTGTGTGTGTGCGCATGTATTTGTATGCATGAGTGTGTGTGTGTTTGTGCATGTCTGTGTATGAATCTGGTGTGTTTATGAATGTGTGTGTGTTTGTGCATAGGCGAGCATGCATATGTGTGTAAATGAGTGTGTGTATGAGTATGCATGTGTGGGTGTGAATGTGTGTATGTTTGTGCATAAGCTAGCATGCATGTGTATTTGTGAGTATGCATGTGCATAAGTAAACATGCATTCATGTGTTGTGTGCATGTATGCATGTGTGTGTGTGTATGTTTGTGTATAAGTCAGTATGCATGCGAGTGTGAGTATGCATATGTGCATAGGTTTGTGCATGAGTGTATTCCTGTGTTGTGAGTGCATGTGCATCTGTATCTGTGCGCATGTATATATGTATGCATCTCTCTGTGTGTGTGTGTGTGTTAGCTTGCCCAGACCTCCAGTGCCCAGCAGCTGTTCTGCAGGATCCACTTGTGTGCGGAGGCTCTGTCCAGTGTGAAGAGCTGCTCCTGCTGCTGGTTGACTGCGGTGTAGCGGATGCTCAGTTTGGGGTTCGGAATCAGAGCGGCAGACAGAAGTCGACAGCCGGCAGCCAAATACACACTCTCCGTCACGTTCTCCACCCCCGCCTGCCTAAAACACACCACAGACACACTCCTTAACCAGATCCGACTCAACACACACACACACACGCACACACACACACACATCACTGTAGAAACAGTGTGAACAGTCATTCTGCTGCACCATTCACAGATACACATCACGTGACCACACACTCGCTGGCCTGCGCTGCAGTGTGTGTGTGTGTGTGTGTGAGCTCCAGCAGGCAGCAGGTGTGTGAGCACAGCTCCCCAGGTGAGAGCAGCGCAGGTCAGACAGTTGCTGAAGGGTCTCCCGCTGGGTCTGATCTCACTACAGGTGTTGATGGTGGTCTTGAGCTCCTCTGCTCTCTCTCTGCTTTTCTGAATCTCCTCCTGTTCTCAGATCAGGTGTTTTGGCTGAGCGCAGAGATCAGCTGATATATGAGTGTGTGTGTGTGCACAGTGACTGATGGCTGGCCTTTATCTCCTCTTCTTGTGTGTTCTCCTGTTCTGATGGCCATTATTGATGATGAAGCTGATCTTCATATGCACACAGTGTAGACGAGGCTCCTGTACATCTGCAGCTCCTCATCTCTGCTGTGTGTTCAGCTCATGTCAGGATGGGAATGGGCCGTTCCTCCTCTCCTGTGTTCAGTTCAGTGTTGGGATGGTGCAGCAGCGGAGCCTGCAGGGGGATGATGTGGATCAGCTCATACACACACCGTGTCCTCTGCAGTGTGTTCTCCTCATCACACTAGTGTGCAGGACTCAGTAGTGTGGGGGAAGTGTGAGCGGAAGCAGGAACCGCAGCTGAACTTGTACTCTTAACAACTAAAGCTTATTAGAGTACACAGGGCCTCAGTGTGATGAGCTGTGTGTGTGTGTGTGTGTGTGTGCGCTCACCGTCTCAGTGTGATGAGCAGAGGGTGTGTGTGTGCGCTCAGGCTGCTGTTGATGAAGGTGATGAACATCTCGAAGGCCAGAGTCATCTCGATCTCACTGAGGCCGCAGGGCAGGAACAGAGCGTCCGCTTCACACACCACACTAGAGTAGAAACCTGCGGAGCGAGCGCCTATCACACACACACACACACACACACACACACACACATACATTCACACACACACACACACACAGAGTGAACATCAGAGTCAGATGAGGTGGGAAAGATCAACACTTGATTTGCTTTGATCCGTTTCTTTCTTAATTGAAGATCTGTGGTGAACTTTAATCAGATCACTGCCTCATTCAGATGGTGAATAACTGCATGACTGATGTCCCTGTAACTGTAGTCATCATCACAGTAGTGTCTGCTGTGGTGTTGTGTAGTTTTTATGACTGTCGCAGATGGTTAAGACAACAACTCTTTTAACATGGAGGAGAGCACTTTCATGGCAGTGTGTGTAATTAAGACTCGTGTGTGTGTGTGTGTGTGTGTGTGTGTGAGTGTGAGACTGACGTCTGAACAGGGCTCTGGCGCGGCTCCACATGTTCTGTTTGCCCAGTCTGTGGATCAGGTTCTGCAGCTGCTGTGTTTCCGGCACCAGACTCCGTGTGAGCATAAACTCCAGGATGTCTGCAGCCACCGGCAGCGTCTGCTTCAGCAGACACACACGCAGGTGAGCGTTGAACATGTCTGTGTAGTCCGAGATCTGAACGCCGTCTGAGGAAAAACAGCCACACACAGTTCAAGACGAAGACATTACTACACACTTTATTATTTTTATAATATTCCCCAAGTGCTGTTTCACAGAGATGGAAACATTCACTATATCTGTATTTTCACAATATTTCACTGTATGACCTACTTATAATTATAATAATATTGATAATGATATTAATTAATATCAGTAACAATATGATTGATATTGATAATAATAATTAATATTAATAACAGAATTAATTAATAATAATAATAATAATAATAATACAGAAAATATTGATAATAATAATAAAATTGATGATAATATTTATCATAATAAAAATAATAATTATTATTTTTAATATTAATAAATAATGCAGACAATAATAATAAATAGTCATTATAATATTTATATTAATTATACAATTATATAATAATAATAATAATGTTGATAATGATAATAATATTGATAATAATATTAATAATAATAAATTAATGGTTATATTATTATTAATAATAATAATAATAATAATAATAATAACAATAACAACTAACAATAATAATAATTGATAATATTGATAATGATCATTATAATTAATAATAATACAAAAATTGATAATGATAACAATATTAATTAATAATAATAATAATAATGATAATAATGCTGTGTGTAATGTACTGTACTATTGAGTATTTCCTCACTGATGGGTTGTCTGAGTCCGGGGAGGTTGGTCAGGATCTCGAAGGCGTCTCGGTGGGAGGTTTTACCAGCTAAAAGAGTCAGAACTCGCTTCCTGATTTCTACATCAGCCGCTTCACAGGGCCACACACTGGAGCTCACAAACCAGCCGTCAGCTGCACACACACACACACACACACACACACACACACGCACACACACACACACACACACACATTGAGCAGAAACTCACAGATGCAACCATAACACAAGTACAAATACACAACACGGACATACACACAAAGACATGCACAGTTGCACAAACAAACACATAGACAGAACCACAACACAAAGATACACAACAGACACAAACACACACAGATACACAAAACACAGACAGAAACAAAAAACATATGAATAGATGCACACAAACAAATGCCCACACAGACACACAATCACAGGCATGCATACACACACACACACACACACACACACACAAAAACAAAACACAAACATATGGATACACAACATAGACACAACCACAAAACACAACACACACAAAGACACAGAGAAATACAGTCAGACAGGTACACACACAGGTGTTAAGCTGTATTTCCAGATCCATAATGACACACACAGACACACACCTCTGAGCAGTTTGAGCGCGCCCTCGATGCTGCCGCTGTGCAGGAAGAGTTCTGCAGCCATACTGACCAGCTGACAGCGAGACACACGGTGCTCATTACCCATCAGCCCCTTCTGCATGATGAACTCAATCTGCAGCCGGAGCATCACATTCACCAGCTTCACCCCCTAAACATGCGCATACACACACACACACACACACACACACACACACACACACACACACACACACGCACACACGTTCACGTAGGTGAGGGTTCTGCTGAAAGTCCCAGTGAAATTAAACTGAAGTGTTAGAGATGTCAGTATCAGTGTGTTGGTCTGCAGGAAGACAGAATCCTGAGAGAAACATCTACAGTTCACAGTTTGTCTCTTCCACCTCAATAATCAATGATTTTTTTTGCCATCACTTCTATTCTTTATATTTCTCATCAAATCTTCTGACCAATCTAATGCTCTCTAGTATCTGACATGCCTCATTGGCTCTTCATTTGTGCTTGAGCCTCACTCATATGGCCATGTGAGTATTTAGAGTATCACCCAACCCCAGTGATATCAGCGCTCTCCCACACACTCTCACCTTACTCCACTCTCGGGTCCTGTGGTACCTGAAGATCAGAGACACTCCAATCCGGCCCAGAATGCTCTTCACCTCATCAGACGGCTCTCGCTGACAAACTGACAGAAAACATTCAGCGCTGATTATTTTGAAGAGTCCGTCACTATTTAATCCAGAGATTAAGCAAGATTAGTGTTAATTATTTAGCAGTTATTGGGCATTTTTAATAAGTTTGGACACTTAAAAACAGTATAATACTTATAAAATGGTTGAAAAAAAACTATATAAAGTATTTGCAAAAAGAAGTACACCCGCACTGCAGTTCAACACGGGCTAGTGAGGTCATTTTTAAATCATTTTCTTGATGAAGAACACATTACCTTGATTAAATGACAGCAGATTTATAGAGCTGCATATTTCCACAAGGCAGATTTTAGGCAGTGGCTGCTGAAAATGGCTCATTTATTTCTACATGTATACCTGCGTCAGCGAACAGCTCGTAGGGAACAGTGTGTTTGTCTTTGGGCTCCTTGAGCAGAGCCATGGTGACGCAGCAGCAGAAGCGCAGCAGCTCATTATTACTGTGTGAACCTGAACACACACTGTAGAAGACCAGCGCCAGCCCAGACCAGTCCTCCTGCTGCTTCAGCATCTGCACACACACACACACACACACACACACTTTTCATTTTGTCCATATGCTATACAGTCATATGGCTCAGCTTTATGTGAAAGTGCATGTACAGAAACACGATGAACATGCGCCTGTAATCTCACCTCAACTCTAACAACAGCCTGCGTCAGATGTGAAAGCTCAGAGGTGTGAGGGTTCGTCGCCAGTGCTCTGAAACACACACACACACACACACACACACACACACACACACACACACACACACACACACACACACACACACACACACACACACACACACACACACAGTGAGAGTTCTGAATGATGTCAGAAAGCACCTGAGCCGTATTCACAGAACATCTTTAGGCTGAAAGTTTAATGAGCATCTATTATGCAGAAATGACTTTTATAAGGGGTTTAAGTGCAGATGTGTGGCAGCAGTGTGCGAGTATATTCATTTATCATCATACAGGCAAATTCCGCACGTTTGTGGCAAATGAGTCGCACGTCGTTCACACCGCAGGACAGTAATCCACCTCTAGACCTGTATGCAGTTTACTCACACAAATACTTAACTCTGCATCTGATGTGAACCAGCATGAAAGGCTGTTATCACCTTCTGTTGGTCCGGAGTGCGTTAGATTATTATTATTATTATTTTTAAACAAAGGCATGTAAAACGGTTTATAAAAACATGACCTAATCCAGCCCTGACCTGCATTTAACAGCCATGAAGATGTCCATCTGCTGTCTGGGGACCTGCATGAGGTGAAGGTGACTCTGCATGACCTCACACTGATCCACAGTGAACACACAGCCCGACTCCACGATCTGCACACACATCACCATCATCATCATCATCATCATCTCCAGTACAGCATGTGAGCATCTGAGCGTCAGCTTTACCTTGGAGGTGAGCAGAATGAGCTCTGGCACAAAGTTGATCAGTCTTCGGTCACTCGCAAACTTAAACACAGCCAACACCAGCTCTGGAGGAGGCTGCAGGAAAACACCATGAGTTAGGGATGTTTTCCAGAGTTGTCATCTCAGAATAAAGCCTGACAGGTTTATCAGCAGCCTGATGTGAAGCGCAGCACTGCTGTAGAAGACAGACGGCTTTATTCTGAGATAACAATCATCCTATATGTACTTTATCCTGATTATTACACAGCTACTGGCCACTAAACAGAACAATTAGACAAAACACTGTTATGAGCTGCAATAGTTTATTTATTATTTAATTAAATGTGAAACTGACAAACTGATACAGCTGATGGAGCATACACTAACCTGCCCATTATTCAGACACTAGATGGAGACAAACAGTCTAAAGCAGCTGATGGAGTATACACTAACCTGCCCATTATTCAGACACTACATAGCGCCAAACAGTCAAAAACAGCTGATAGAGTATACATACTAATATACTAATAAATAAAGTGTGTCTTGAAGCCAGCAGCACTCACCAGCTTCTTGTGTGTGAGCAGCAGGTTCAGGACGGCTAAAAATTCTCTCAGTAAACCCATATTGAGGAGAATGGAGAGCAGAGAGTTGACCGTCTCCTGGCTGAAGCTCCCACTGGGGGGACAGCGACTGTAATATCCCATAAACACCTCCACTTCACACACACACACACAAACACACAGAAAACATTATTAGGCCAGCGATTGCAATGTTTTCCAAAACAATTCACCCCTAAATTAATTGCACTACTGGTCAAAACTTTTAGGACAGTCAGATGTTCAATGTAAATATTTTTGCTCACCAAGCCTGCAAATATTTGATCCAAAGCACAGCAAACACTGTACAATTAGGATATATTTTACCATTTTAAATAACTGTTTGTTTATATATATATTTATTTAATAAGATGGGGCGTCATGGTGGCTCAGTGGTGTCGCACTGTGGCCTCACAGCAAGACGGTCTCTGGTTTGAGTCTCGGCTGGGTCAGTTGGTGTTTCTGTGTGGAGTTTGCATGTTCTCCCCATGTTGGCGTGGGTTTCCTCCGGGTGCTCCGGTTTCCCCCACAGTCCAAACACATGCGGTATAGGGAATTGTATACGTTTAACTTGTAATTAATCATCTGCTGTGTAAAACATATGCTGGAATAGTCGGCGGTTCATCATCATGAGACAATTGTTGAATAGTTTTAGGACAATTTTGATAAAAGGATTTGATCCATCAGATGTTGACTTCTGGATTTTATCAAATTAAAAAAAATGCTTATTTTAAACAGGCAAAAATGTGACTATAATAGTGCTGTAGATCAAATTAACACAGGCCTGATGAGCAGAAGAGACGCTTTAATAATAATAATAATAAAACACTTAATCTTTCCGTTTTAAACTGTTTCCTGATAGTGTACGTGTTTAATAAAGCTGTGTTACCTGCCCGCAGAATAAGAACCACTTTTCCAGCATGACAGAACTTCTTCACCATTTCCATACAGAACTGAAGCAGAAAAACAGTCCAGTGAACACACACACACACACACACACACACACACACACACACACACACACACTGAAGGATGCAAACACTAGGGATGCTGCAATACTCTGTACATTATTGAAGCATTCAGTATGATGGATGCATTTATTTGCATTAAAACTTAAATGATGATCATTAGAAACATGTTGTCTGTAGCTTTCTCATTGTGCTGCATCTTAAAGTTAAAACAGCTCATCCTGCAGTCTGAGTTTAATATTAATCAAACAGCAGGAGAGAATGAAATCTCTGTTCTTGACGGAATAACTATATAATGGTTAACCTTTATTTTATTTATACAGTTATCGTATATTTATTTTACAGTTATCGTTATATCGTCAGGGACTGGTCAGTTTATGTAACTGAAATCTGCGGTTAGACATGAGAAACCTGAAAAGCAGTTTATTTCAGTATTTGCCATATTGCATTCAGTGTTTTTTATTATATCTTTAGTTAACAAAACTTTATAAACATATCATACTATTGTTGCATCTCTAGTAACAACACTGAGCAAACACACACACACACACACACCGTCTCATCTCCATCTCTCGGCACATGCAGGAACCTACACACACCACTCCGCAGGCAGGTGCTGTGATCGCTGAAGTAGAACCTACAATACTGTAAAAACACACACACACACACACACACACACACACACACTAGATATGAGCTGTTTGTGGAGAAAATCTGTCATCTTAATTTCCCTCTCACTCACACTGATGTGTGGAGTTCTCAGAGCAGGCGGCTCTTTAGCCGTCACTTCACGACCTGCATCATCAAACACAATCAGCTTTAGATTCATTACTCAGACCAAACAGTACAAACACTGATCTCACACTGTGCTGACGTACCGCTGAAGCAGGAGTCCGTCACGGGTCTCGGCGCTCTGCTGCTTATTACTGAAATACTGTTCAGATTGCTGGAGTCTCTGCTCGGCTGGTTGTTGTTACAGTCTATTCCAGCATTCTAGAAGAGGAGGAGAAGTGCTGTGTTCACATTCACTCAATCACTCCTTTAAACTGGTTGCTCAAAACAGCTGATTCATTCATTCATCTTTATGAATGAATCTGTAAATCGCTGACACAAAATAAGATTCATACAGGAAGTAGCTGTGAGATGCACAGGTGTTCTGCTCTGGCTTTATATTTATGTTATGAAGAGGGTGGCACGGTGCTGCAGTGATTAGCACTGTGACCTCACAGCAAGAAGGTCTCTGGTTTGAGTCTCGGCTGGGTCAGTTGGTGTTTCTGTGTGGAGTTTGCATGTTCTCCCCGTGTTGGTGTGGGTTTCCTCTGGGTGCTCCGGTTTCCCCCACAGTCCAAACACATGCACTATAGGGGAACTGATCAACTTAACTGGCCATAGTGTGTGTGTGTGTGTGTGTGTATGGGTGTTTCCCAGTACTGGGTTGTGACTGGAAGTGCATCCGCTGTGTAAAACATATGCTAGTGCTTCATTCCGCTGTGGGGACCCCTGATGAATAAATGGGCTAAGCTGAAGGAAATGAATGGTTATGAAGATATGTGAACTGACCTCAGACTTTACAGTGTTCAGACTCTGGACAGGCTGAGATCTGCAAACCTGCATCTCATTTACTGTAAAACAAAAACAAATCAGTTTTTAAAATAAACATAATTCCTCTAAGACCCTGACAGTAGGAGAGGAATACAGCTGAATATCCACGGTAGATAATTGTACAGTTGAAGTCAGAATTATTCACCCCCCCCTTTGAATTTTGTTTTCTTCTTTAAATATTTCCCAAATGATGTTGAACAGATTGAGCAAATGTTCACAGTATGTCTGATAATATTTGTTCTTATGGAGAAAGTCTTATTAGTTTTATTTCGGCTAGAATAAAAGCAGTTTTTTTTATTTTTTATAAACCATTTAAGGTCAATATTATTAGCCCCTTTCAGCTATATTTTTATCGAGTCTTCATAACAAACCATCGTCATACAATGACTTGCCTAATTACCCTAACCTGCCTAGTTACCCTAATTAACCTAGTTAAGCCTTTAAATGTCACTTTAAGCTGTATAGAAGTGTAAAAGAGCACATGTAAATTGCTTCCTTGTCCTCATTTGCAAGCCGCTTTGGATAAAAGTGTTTGCTAAATGACTGAAATGTAAATATAATGTAAATGTCTTGAAGAATATCTAGTCAATATTATTTACTGTCATCATGACAAAGAGAAAATAAATCAGTTATTAGAGATGAGTTATTAACACTATTATGATTAGAAATGTGCTGGTGAAATCGGTGTTAAACAGAAATTGGGGGAAAAATAAACAGGGGGCGAATAATCCAGGGGTTAGGGTTAATAATTCTGACATTAACTGTATATTTAAATAAGTAATTCACCGTTCACACACCTTTTGAACCACTGTCACTCAGATGATCCGTCTGGACATCTTCAGCCACTTTGCTGGTGCTTTAAAAGAAACAAAAAAACAACAACATTCAGTAAAAATCAGAAATTAAATGCATCTCTGGCCATTCACTGAGCATGTTTCTCCATTCAAATGCACTACTCTACTCTTCATTGTTTTTCTATGCAAAAGCACACTTGGCAAATGTGGGTCAGTGTTGATCTTGCATCTCTCGTAGCACCTCACACATGAGCGCTGTCTTTTTAAGATGTCGTGACAAGTTGAAATAATTCACACTTCCATACACAGCGTCACTCAATATCACTAACACAGCAGTGGACCAATAAGAAGAACTCAGGGGTGGGGCTAGTGTTGCAGCTTCTGTTTACAGGGGTTGTTGCTGAAAGTTTACAAGAATTATTTATAATATTTATAAAATTTCCCATTTATTGTATTTTATTAACGACTACCCCCACCCCACACGACCGTCACAGCACTGTAAAAATATGAATTATTGTTATACAGTGCCATAAAAAAATGCTGCTATAATAATGTGCATATCACGCTTCAGACCGGCTGCGTATCTGCTCTAGACTTTACAGTTTACGGTAGCACGTTGGCATGACAACTGTTTTATTCGACATTACCATGGAGGCGCTTAAAACAAAATACTCCTAAATACTGTGCTGCACTTTAGATGCAAACATGAGTTATTTATCAGGGGTCACCACAGCGGAATGAACCGCTAAATCATCCAGCGTAACTTTTACACAGCAGATGCCCTTCTAGCTGCAACCCAGTACTGGGAAACACCCATACACACTCATACACTACAGCCAGTTTAGTTGATCAGTTCCCCTATAGTGCATGTGTTTGGACTGTGGGGGAAACTGGAGCACCCGGAGGAAACCCACGCCAACACGGGGAGAACATGCAAACTCCACACAGAAACACCAACTGACCCAGCCGAGGCTCAAACCAGTGACCTTCTTGCTGTGAAACCACAGTGCTAACCACTGAGCCACAGTGTCGCCTCTATGATTTTTATTAAAATAAATGTTTTTTTATAATAATATCAGAAGGTTTGTAAGATAAATCATTTTTTGCCGTCGTCTCATACTTTAGTTTCTCATCAAATCTTCTGACCAATTAAATGCTTTCTAGTGTCGGAGATGCCCCGCCCCCTTTTTCCTCATTAGCTTTTCACTTGAGCTTAAACACTCCCACTGGCTGAACTGAGGAAAACTAAAAGGGGAGGAGCTACTCTATGCCCCGCCCTCTCACCATGTTTCAGTCGAGATTTAGTCAAAACTGAAATAATAACCTGCACAGTTCAAAGCATATTCTGATATTATGATGAAATATGAAAGTACCCCTCAGTGTGTTGCTCCCAGATGACCTCACAGTGTTGATCCTCCATTTTTGTCAGAGTGTCTTGATTCTTGGTTGGTGCGTCCTGTTGAGTCTTGGCTTCAGAAACCACAGTCCCGAACAGCTCTGGATCATCCTGAATCACATCCAGCACCAGGACGTCTTCTTCATACGCTCGAGAAACATCCAGAAAGCTCTCTTCAACTCTATGAGACTGAGAACAAGCTTGTGTATTATTATTATTATTAGTATTCATCGAACACACCCCATCATCATCATCATCATCATCAGATGAAGATGAAGATGGTGCAGAAACACCTCCAGCATCTTGGTTTTCCTCCTCAGAGGACATGTCTGTGTGTGTTTGTCCGTCAGACGCTGGCTTCACTTCTCCTTCAGGATTACTGCTGTGTGAATGAGCGGCAGATTCTCCTTCAGTCTGATCCACTGATGAGCTGTCCTGAGCTTTCAGCACTCCCACTTTAATACACATCTGCGAGAGCAATGCTGGGTTATAAACCGCTCCTTCATCAGCTTTTCTGCTCTGATCCTCAAACTGTGAAATAGGGAGGATGCTGAATTTAGCACATTTGGAATCTCCAACCAAATGATCAGCTGGTTCCCAAACGCCAGGAGCATCAGGGTGATCTTCATGATCAAGCAGGGAATGATGTCTAAGAAGACCGTTTGCTTCTAATGACGCCTCAAAGCCACAGCCGTCGAGTTTGCAGCTGTTGACCTGTTCAGTGCTGTGTTCCTGACTCTGGTTTAGCTCTGCATGTTCTGAAATAGCAGTCACAGAGAATCCTGAAGTCCTTTTTAGCACACAAGTGGACGTATTTTCACACAACACCGAGCTCTGCTGATTCAGCACATCAGGAATATCTCCACTTATTAATCTACATGGAGTGTCTGCATGACTTTTCCGAGAGTAAACCTCCTCCGCTGCTTCAGAACGCTCGTTTTTCTCTTCATCATCCTGAGCTGTGTTTGTGAATGTGGCGGTGATTATCCAGCGAGCTCCATTTCTGGGTGATCTGAGCTCCTCAGGAGGACCCGTTCTAGGAAAGGGCCACGGTTTGCAAGTGCGAGCGCATGATGATTTGGGAATGAAAATGTATGCTTGCGTTCGCTGGCAGGAGAAACTCTCTGGTGCATTCGCAGACTCTGCATCTGAATCCTGGTTTCTGCCATCCTCATCAGGACCGCTCTCACGGTCATCATCTTCACTTCTGAAGCCGAAGCCGTTGACCGACACTCTTCTGAGCACTAGAGGTGGCACACGGCGCTCAGGGCTGGATGTGTTTCCAGATATGTGGTTCACTGGACAGTGTTTCTGTTTCTCTGGACAGTTATTAGCACATGCTGGAGCGACAGTATCTGGACTCTCCGACAGTCTCATCGTCTCCGGATCCTCTACCAGACAAGCGTCCGATTCCTCGAGCGATCCTTCAGAGATGTGCGCGCCGCCACACGGAGCATCACCTGATGAGAGAGAAGCACAGCTATGTTTGGTTGCGGTGGAAAGTTTCCTGGAGCGTCTACGTTTCCTGATGCTGTGCGGATGAGGATGCGTGAGAACACCGAACTCTGTCTGCAAGCACTGCTGCTGCGCTCTCCTGCTCGCCGTTTGTTTTAGCACCGCTGGCAGGACACAGGAGAAATCACGTGAGGCTATGCGAAACACTCGGCCGACATCGCAGAGCTTCACCGTGGGGTTTTTCTCGAGTGCTGAGGCGTGACGGGACGCTGAGGGAGTTCTCTGCTTTTCTGCGCTCAGGCTGGGGCGGCCAGCTCTGGGTCTGGGATTGAGTAAACGGACCAGATTCTTACTAGAGGGAGGAGGAGGAGGATTGTATTTTACATCACCACACAAAGCACAGCACGCGTTTTTCACCGAGCGCTTCCTCGACCTTTCCTCTGACCTAAGCCGTCTCAGCTCAACTTTTGAACTGAAATCTGAAATCAGAGACAAGAAAAAAGGGTGAAAGCAAAAATGCTAATTAATATGAGGATCCTCACAGCTACTAGCTCAGTGATGTCTGCATTAAAGAGGCAGATTACACTAAAATAAAAACTCATTTCCCCACACTCGAGTGCTTTCAAACTAAGTGCTTTAGTTTATTCTGAATTTTCATTTTTATATTCTGAATTTTTTTATGCATATTAGCCTGTTAAATGGAGCGTTCACATTAAAATACAAATCTCCACACTCAAGGGGCATGAGTTTTATTTTCACATCTTGAGAATCAGCTGATGGCCATTCTTAGGTGTTAAAGGCGCAGTTCACTCATTTTCCCATCATTTATTAACCCTTAAGTGGTTCTAAACACTTATGAACAACATCTGCATTAAAGGGGCAGTTCACACAAAAAATTAAATATTCTCATCATTTAGTCACACTCACGCGGTTCTAAACTGTGGTTCTATGAGTTTTATTCTTAATTTTTGAGAACTAATTTATACTAATGGCCATTCTTAGATGTTTAAGGCACAATTCAACCAAATATTTACATTTTCCCATCATTTATTAACACATAAGTGGTTCTAAATATTCAACTTCCTTTACAAAACTAGATATTGTGAACAATGTTAAAAAAAACAAAAAAACATTGACGTTAACCTCCCCGAGCTTTAGCGGCCACATATGTGGACAGCACATTTTAGCTCTTAAGCAGTGTCATCCTGCAACTGTTTTACAGCATATGAAGTGTCCCAAACGCTATTTTTCACTGTCCAAAATGGGCAAAAATTTTGTTTTTAATCTCCGACAGTCAAAGCAAGTTCAAAAAAACATGTATATGTTATATATTCATTAAGAAACAGGCGGGATAAAGTGTTTTATGTAAATTCGGACTACGAGTCCAGATATATGGACATCATATTTCTCCAAAAGTACATCATTTCAAAATATGATACTCAGGTTTTATTCCAATCAGGTTTCAATAAACCCAAAAAGCAAAGAGAAATAAAAAGTGCATGTATAAAAAACACCTTGGGCCTTAAGAGTTTAATAATAGTAGGGCTGCATGCACAATATTGTTAAAATCTGATATTGCGATATTTAGTTTTTGTCTAGTTTCACAAGACAGGTTGAACAGCTCTATTTGATGGTTTTCAGAGGACTAACACTATTCAGGTACAAACATTGAATAAACACAATGCAAAAAAAAAGATTTTCTTACTTTGTCTTGTTTACCGTCCAAATATCAAAAAAAGTTCTTAAACCAAGAAACAATATTATATTTAGATTTCGTTTTCAGAAGACAAAAGTAAAAACTAAGAGCTTTGTTTGCTTGTTTTAAGGAAACTATCTTCCCGTGTTGGTGTGGGTTTCCAAGCACATGCGCTATAGGGGAACTGATCAACTACACTGCCTGTAGGGATGCAAGGGTTTTAAATTTTGGTTGTATGATTATAGTCTAGAAATAATCAGTTTTCACGAATATTTGCATTCAATGATTTCAAAACTCCACTAATTTAAAACTAGTTTAAAATCGTTTTAAATTTCGTTTTGTAGTTTCGGCCCAACTAAATATTTGTCGCTGTTTTAATTGTTTAAGTTTATTTGAGTAATTATAGAAAAGTCAGTGGATATTACGGACTCATTTATTCAATGTGTTTTTGGTCATTATTAATGCACCGGCAAAAGTAGACCCAGTGGCAAAATTATCACACCACGGCTGCTGTAATGACTCTCACGCCTCGTGCAGACGCACTGCTTCTGGCATTCGCCACATGATTGCTTTCACCAGCGCCATTATTTGTAACTTTAACTGGGTTTGCAAACCTGTGTACTTCCCATTGCATCTTCCTCAAACCGTTAGCTATTGCAGTTCCTGCAGGCACAAAAGCCCCGTCATCTCAACTAGGTGCACCTGAAAAGCGCGAGTGTGTTGCGTTGCGTGCGTGTCCCTCCATTGGAAATAACGAACCTGGATGAGCTTGACCTTAGTTAATATCCCCCGTCATAGTTAGTCCAGTGTGTGTGGTTATTAGTCTTGGTGTACAAACTAGTCCACAGTTGGTATAACTTTGTTTAGTTGCTGCAGTTTTTTTCTGTACAGAAATGCGGTGTTGAGAAGCCGTTACGATTAATTAACCGTGACGAATCAAATCACGGTTAATAGTGAAACCAGTTAATTGTTGCATCCCTAACTGGAATTAGTGTACGAGTGTGTGTGTGAATAAGTATGTATGGGTGTTTCCTAGTGAAGTGTTGCAGCTGGAAGGGCATTAGCTGAGTAATACATATGCTGGATACGTTGGTGGTTTATTCCACTGAATAATAAAGAGACTAAGCCGACAAGAAAATGAATGATTGAATAAATTAAGGAAATTATCTACAGTGAGGTCGTGAAATAATCTTGTTTTCACTCTGACATGTAGACATTTGGACTAGAAACAAGACAAAAAATGTTAAGTAAGAAATGAAATTGAAGAAACTTGAACAGGTGTAGAACATTTGGGTTATTTATTTACTGGTGAACTGTCTCTTTAAATCAAATACAGTAAGCTAGGCGGAGTCTTCCTCATGGTTCACTCTCCCTCATGCCATTCCACATTAATATGAGTGTTTTCCTTTGGCAAACCTGCAGTTTCTTGAACAATAGTCATAGCTGCGGGTGCATCACCGCAAGTCTACAAACTCCCAAACTCACATTTACGATTCTGACCTTCATTCTAAGTCTGTAAATAGGTTAATTGAAATTCAGGTCTATTAATTGAGAAGAAAACAAACTTACAATAGTGAGCAGGTCAGAAATAAAATAAAAATTCTTTATCGATGACGAAAGCAGCTGATATTCAGCTCAGTGGATGATCTCCATCAGTATATCCGTCTATTGATTATTAAACACTGATCGGCATTATCATCTGACAGCAGGAGGGCGGGAAAACACGAGAGATCACTTCTGTGAATGGATATTTTATCAGATGTGAACTCTCTCTCTGTCTGCAGTGACAGTCAGTGTTTGTTTACCTCAGTCAATTAAACAGCAGGTAAAGGTGTGTTGCTCAAATGTGTCTCTTACTTGCACTTGTCCTTCCGGTTAAACTCGCGCGACTTCTGCGCGCTTCCGTCCTGATGGCGGTCTTCGCCTCACCGGCAAACAGTCTCCTCTGTGTTCCCTTTTCCCGCCGAGGCACGGTCGGCCGCGAGAGTGTGTTCTGAGCGCCGTGTTTTACCGATTGTCGCGCGGGCGGAATGAGTTCTGGCGGTTCGACGGAAACATTAACGTTACCAGACTCGACGCTGTTTATAACGGAGAGCGCATGCGCGTCCGTTGGGCCGACAATCACGCGCTTCCCGCCATTTCGCGGTTTGTTTCTGGCGAAGCACAACGCTAAACGCAACCGGCAGAAGATTTCGCGTTTATGTTCGGATAACCGGTTTTTGGAGGCCGGCATAGCCTCGGGATCTGCTCCGGTAATAACACTCACTTTGGAGGAGACTGTACCTGGATCAGCTGTTGCCGGTTTCGGAGAGCCGCCGTCCACAGGTGGATTCACAGCACACACGGGTTTAACGTTAGATCCGGTCCATCGCCGTTTATTCGGCTCCGGTTTATTCTCCGGTTTAAACGAGTCCCGCTTCAGTTTGATCCTCGTGCCACACGGGAACATCTCTGACGCATGCGCGAACGATAAAACCGCACCTGTGGCGGAATAAACGACTTAAAACTTCTCAGTGTCACAAATATCAGCTTTCAGACACTAAACCGACTGATGGATTCAACACAACCGATTCTGAGAATCAAACAACATCAACGGAAGCAACGGACGAGTAACTTAGATGACGAGCGCGTGAACGGAGAAACGTGCGTCTGACGCGATGAAAATAAAACTCAAGCGGTTATACAAACAGACGTATAGTACGTCGACAGCCAGTGTTTTATAAAGAGACTATTGATTAAATAGTTGTTCCTCAATACCTGTCCGCGTCACTGTTTATTACTAATAGAATTAAACACACTCCCACGTCCAATCTCCGTGTCAGGCATGCGCAATGGAGCTCAGCGTGATCGAGCGGTCAGTGGGAAACACACCGCCGCCGCGTGGCGCATTCACACACTGCACTAGTGCTGTTTACATTCAAGTGGCACTCACTTTACATGAAAACACAAACAAATGACATATTACAAATAGGATCAGTTCTGTTTCCATCTCGTCAATGTTTTTGATTATTTTTTAATTTATACCATGTTCATTAAGAGTCAGTGCAGTGTTGACAGAACTGAACTAATATGATCATCATACTTATTGCTTACAGTGTGTGTGTGTGTGTGTGTGTGTATACTTGTGAATTTAATTGTCCTCACTTATATAGTGAAATATAAAGTGTTGACATTTTCACTAATTAAAACACGTATCAATCAGCCAGAGCGGGCTTTTGTTACTTTATAATGATCATGCACTTTTTTCCTGTGAGGGTTGTTTATGAGTAGAGTTCATCCAGACAGAAATACGAAGGAAGTCATGGGCAGTGTCCTCACTAAGATAGTAAAACAAGTGTTTGTGTGTGTGCATGAGAGCAAGCACAATTGTTCCACAATGCATTTGTGGCTATTTAAAGTGTAAGAATGTATATTAGGGGATTTTGTGAGATGTTTTAGCATTTAAAGCACTGCTAATCTCGTGCACATTATTTATTTACTGCATGGATAAATGAAGAGTGTTCTGTGTGCTGTGATGTGCTGGACTTATTGCCAGTTTATCTCTGAAATGCTGTTTTGACAAAATCTTTGTATAGAAATAATGCAGTGTGCATCAACACACAAATATTGTTTGTTTGCATTATTTACTAAAATCTAAAATGTTTAAATGAAAACCTAAGCAGATTAATTAAAGATGATATGAAGAGCACTTAAGTTTATTATTATTATGCACACAAGTTTATATTCTGTGGTAATCTGCTGCTGCTATGACACAAGTGAACTTCTGTATCTCCTATATCTCTGGCCATCTGAGATGAACTGTTAAATAGAGAAGAACACACTCGATGACCTGTTGGTGTTGAAACAGCAGTGACTGCTGAGATATTTATCTGATTTCACCGCATGTTTGTGCACATTTGCATCTATATATATATATATATATATTTTACTGTAGACTCTTCCATAAAGCTGATGTAGATCAGCACTCTTTACCACTCGAGGACAGACAGGTATGAATATTAATGAAGCTTTATTTTCAATATCATTTGACTAATCCAGCAAGCTGTAGTTAATATATATTTTAGTTATTTGATCATCAGTTTGTTTCTCACTGTTTTATAATCTTCATTAAGTGTGATTTTATGATGTCTAATTATCTGTGATGTTTGTTGTGACGGTGTCTCAGATCATGATGGGTGAACCTGTGATGTTGTGGCTCGCTCTGCTCTTGGGGTTGTGTGTCACTGATGTGGCGCCGGGTGAGTTCACATTTATTATTCACATTTATACATGAGGGCTGCATGGGGGAACAGTGGGTAGCACTTTCACCTCACAACCAGTAGGTCACTGGTTCGAGCCTCGGCAGGGTCAGTTGGCGTTTCTGTGTGGAGTTTGCATGTTCTCCTCGTGTTGGTGTGGGTTTCCTCCGGGTGCTTCAGTTTCCCTCAAACAAAGCCCAATTGTCTGTAGATTAATAAAGGGACTAAGTCGAAAAAGAATGATTTAATCATGAACCTATGCTTTTATAGAAAAAGATTTACAAATGAGGATAAAAGAAGCACTTCATCATCAGAGAGCATCTGTAGATATAAAGGGCTCCCACTGCTCATGGAAACACTGAAATATGTTAAAAAGTTCTTCCAGATATTGAAAATATATATATTATTATGTAAATTCAGGGATTTCTTTTAGGTAATTTTAATTTAAACTTATCAAAATGTAATTTTCTATATTAGTTTTGCCCCTGTTATTATTGGTTTGGCTTTTTTCAGCTCCATTTTACTTCTCTAAGCCAGTGTTTCTCAACCACGTTCCTTTAGTACCACCAGCACTACATATTTCCAGGTCTCTTTAACCAAACACAAATCAAACTCAGATCATCAACTCTTCAGCAGAGACTGAAAGACCTGTTATTGGTGTGTCAGAGGAGACATCCAAAACATGCAGTGTTGGTGGTCCTCCAGGAACATGGTTGAGAAGCACTGCTCTAAACTGTTAGTCACTTAAGTCAAATGCTGTCACCAACCTGTTCATTAAGGGTTAGGCAAACATGTCTGAATAGTGTGTGTTTTAGGAGTTTTGGCTGTAAAATCACCACCTTAAAGACACTTTAACTAAATGTAAAGTTTTAAAAAGTACTATCACTGCAAAAAATGAGTTTGTGTCCTCTTTCTGGTCCAAATATCTAAAGATTCTGAAATCAAATTTTCTACACAAGCGAAATCAGTATCCCGACCTGTCTGAAGGGCTAGTGGGAGTAGAATATATTTTTCAAGCCTTTACATTCACTCAAAAATTGGATAATTATGTAAGTATGTAGGCATGGGCCGGTATAAGATTCTGATGGTATGATAATCTTAGATAAAAATATCATGGTATTATGGTATTGTGCTCACCCATATAAAATACACTCTTTTTAAATGAACTTTTTTCTCTTTTGAGCACAATATATTTGATTTTGAGAATCTTTTAAAATAGTTTGGAACAGTGAACATGTCAGGCTAAATGAATTATAGACTTCTGCTGTCTTCATTAGTTTCAAAAACAGATACTTCTTACAATTTAAAATGGCATCTTAGGATATCTTTTCTTTTACCTTGACTCTTCCAAACGGTATAACTTTATAATTAATTGGTTAAATGTGTATATAAGTGTGTCAGCTAAGCTTGGTCAGTGTGTTGTTACCTAAGAGTCCTGATGTCAAAACATACAATCTGGTTGATTAATTTTCCTTCAGCTTAGTTCCTTATTTATCAGCAGTTGCCACAGTGGAATGAACCGCCAACTATTCCAGCATGTTTTACACAGTGGATGCCCTTCCGGGTGCAACCCAGTATTGGGAAACACCCATACACACTCATTCACACACACTCATACACTACGGCCAGTGTAGTTGATCAGTTCCCCTATAGCGCATGTGTTTGGACTGTGGGGGAAACCGGAGCACCCGGAGGAAACCCACACCAACACGGGGAGAACATGCAAACTCCACACAGAAACACCAACTGACCCAGCCGAGACTCAAACCAGCGACCTTCTTACTGTGAGGCTACCCACTGCGCCACTGTGACGCCATTATATTAGTTTTGTTTCCAATAAATGTTCTTTCTTTTACGTTGTAACTCAAATGAGCGGGTCGTAACCATGAGCGTGTGTGTGCGTGTGTGTGTGTGTGTGTGTGTGTGTGTGTGTGTGTGTGTGTTCAGCTAATCTGGCTCTGGGCGCCGCAGCGGTGCAGTCGTCCACTGGAGACCCCAATGGAAACGCTGAGCACGCAGTGGACGGAAACACAGAAGCAGACTACCGTAAGGGCTCCTGCACACACACCAGCCGTGAGTTTAACCCCTGGTGGAGGGTGGATCTGGGTGGAGTGTCCAGCGTCAACAAAGTCACCATCACCAACAGAGGAGACTGCTGTGAGGAGCGCATACGTGGAGCGCAGATCCGCATCGGGGACAGCCTGGAGAACAACGGAAACAACAACCAGCTGTAGGAGTTATCCACACACACACACACACACACACACACACACACACACACACCGCCAGCAGTTTGATTATTCACCACTGATTTGCTTGTTGTTGTAATAAAGCAGGGGTGCCCAAACTCCTGGAGAGTCGGTGTCCTGCAAAGTTTAGTTCCAACCCCATTCACACACCTGGGCTAGCTAATACAGCTCTTACTAGACTTCTAGAAACATCCGTGCAGGTGTGTTGAGGCAAGCTGGAGCTAAATCTGCAGGACACCGGCCCTCCAGGACTGAGTTGGGGCACTGCTGTAATAAACACTTGTATGATGTGATAATGATGCGCACGCAGACATTATGCAGCTTTTACAGATTTCCTGAAGTGTGCTGCTTCTAGTGTCATGTAGATCAATCATATAATGTGTGTGTCCTCATGTTTCTCCCTGTGTGTGTGCATCTGTATATGTGTGTGTGTGTGTGTGTGTGTGTTTGCATGTGTGCACAGAGCTGCTACTCTTCTGGATGCTATTAAAGGCTCTCAGACGTTCGAGTTTCAGCCGATTCAGGGCCGATACCTCAATGTTTTCCTGCCCGGGAATGATGAAACTCTGAGTCTGTGTGAAGTGGAGGTGTTTTCAGGTGAGACGGCTCTTATTTCACTGCATTATCTGCTGCATCAGCCATAAAAGAACTTTAAATAAGTGTCTTATCTTCAACATGTTGAGCTTTAAAACTAATTAATTTGTATATTTGCATTCACTACTTACTGCTTTTTTATATATTTATTATCTGTTTATTGTCCTGTCTGTCTCTGTAATTCTGTTGCACTGTAGAAGCTCTGTCACCAAAACAAATTCCTTGTATGTGCAAACACACCTGGCATTATAGCTCTTTCTGATCCTAATGAAACTGTTCTTGCAATATTGCTGATAAAGCAGAAAACTTCACAGAAAGCAGAACCCGGCTAGAGTGAAGTCACTGAAGAGCTTGATCTGATCAGAGAGTCAGCTGTTGTTTGAATCGGTGTTTAGGGAGCAAACCTTTTGTTTTTTGTTGTACACTGCATCTGAAAAGTGTTGACAGCGCTTCAGTTTCTCCACGTGTTTATGTTACAGCCTTATTCCAAAATGGATTAACTTAATTGATTTCCTCAACATTCTACACACAATCCCCCATAATGACCATGTGGAGAGAGTTTTTTAAATTGTTGAAAACTTATTAAGAATAAAAAGCTGATAAATCACATGTAAACTGAGCTCAGGTTCATTCTGGAGATGTTCCAGCAGCTTCATTGGAGTTCAGCTGTGCTCAATTCAGCTGATGGACATGATCTGATCAGGCTACACCTGTCTATATAAGGGCCCAGGGTCGACAGTGCATGACAAAGCACAAACCAAGCATGAAGTCAAAGGAACTGTCAGTAGAGCTCTGAGACAGGATTGTCTGGAGGCACAAGGCTGGGGAAGGTGACAGAAACATTTCTGCTGCTCTGAAAGTCCCAATTAGCACAGCAGGACAATGACCCAAAGCACACTACCAAAATATCAATGGAGCGGCACAGCAACAACTCTGGGAATGTCCTTGAGTGGCTCAGCCAGAGCCCAGACCTAAATCCTATTGAACATCTCTGGAGAGATCTGAAAATGGCTGTACACCGTCACTTCCCATCCAACCTGATAGAGCTTGAGAGAACCTGCAAAGAGCAGAAATCCCCAAAGACAGGTGTGCAGAGCTCGTGCATCATATTCAGAAAGACTCGAGGATGTAATAGCTGCCAAAGGGGCATTAACAGAGTGTTGAGCAAAGGAATACTGATGTACATCTGATTTTACAGATGTTTTATTCTTAATAAATCTGCAACAAGTTCAAAAACTCTTTCACCACATGGTCATTATGGGGGATTGTGTGTAGAATGTTGAGGAAATCAATTTACTCCATTGTGGAATAAGACTGTAACATAAACACATGTGGAGAAACTGAAGTGCTGTCAGTACTTTCCGGATGCAGTGTTGATAAAATGTTTAATTTGTAATAAATGTAAATGTAATGCAGTATAAAACCTTGATATTTAATCTATCATTTAAGAGAATTTGCATATTGTTTTGTGAATAGATTGTAAGTTTAGCCAGGGTCTCTCAGAGGGGCTTACATTAGTTAAACGTTTTTAATTTCTTTAATAAAGCTAAAGGCCATTCATTCATTTTCTTTCAGTTTAATCCCTTTATTCATCAGGGGTTGCCACAGTGGAATGAACCGCCAACTATTCCAGCATATAATATTTTACACAGTAGATGCCCTTCCAGCTGCAACCCAGTACTGGGAAATAAAGGCCATGCATGATTGATTCCAATGAAAAGAATTAAAAGTTTAATTTCTGTTGTTTGTGTTGAGGTTTATAGCCGATTCAAATAGTTTTACATGATTAAATAATGTGTAGCTGACGCTGATTGGTCAGCTTGTATTTTTTGTTTATTGTTTTGTATTTCATTATTTAAATGTTTATTGGTATGTGTTTATGTTACTAATTTCGTTGTTTCCGGTTGGCTTGAGTGGGAGGTCACATGATTCTCTTTGATTGATTTAACCTGTGAGAGTTTGTATGGTCACTCAGCATAGTGAGATCTCAATGCAAGCACCTGTTAAATGCTCCAGTTTATTCTACAGCTGGTTATCAGGCCAACACGGCAAACTAAACATTGTTTTATATATTATTTGTTTATTTGAGGTCCTTTTGATTGTGTTTGTGTGAAACATTTGGTTTGTTTATTTGTTTATCTTTTAGTTTTCAGAATGTTCAATAAATAAAACGTATGATGGACATTAGTATTTGGTATTGTGAACTGTTTTAATAACCAGCGGGTAGCTACATAATGTATTTAATAATTAAGTGACCTTTTAAACAGTAATTATATTGAAAAAAGCCTTTTAAATGCAATTTTTAAGTCATGAAAAGGATTTGTAATTAGTCATGAATGTAACATCACTGAATGTGGCGGCTTGTATTTGGCCTGTGTAATATTCCTACAGCTAGTCTATAGCATTAGTGTGTGTGTGTGTGTGTGTGTGTGTGTGTGTGTGTGTGTGTGTGTGTGTGTGTGTGTGTGTGTGTGTGTGTGTGTGTGTGTGTGTGTGTGTGTGTGTGTGTTCTAATGTAGCAGGTCCATCAAAGAATATTGCCGCTGGAGCCGCCGCCATTCAGTCCTCCACTTGGCCTCATGATGGTGACGCAGGGAACGCTGTGGACGGAAGCACTGAGTCTGAGTATCAGGAGGGCTCCTGTTCACACACTCTGGGGGAAACCAACCCGTGGTGGAGGGTGGATCTAGGGAGAGTGTTCAGCATCCGCCGTGTCAGCATCACCAACAGAGGAGACTGCTGTGAGGAGAGGTTAAACGGAGCTGAGATCCGCATCGGGAACAGCCTGGAGAACAACGGAAACAGCAACCACCTGTGAGTCTCACACACTGCACACACAGATGAAGACGTCCAGACCTCAGGTTCCTGCTTATTTGCCCTCTACAATCACGATCACTGCTGTTTCTCCTGCTCTGTGTGTGTGTGTGTGTGTGTGTGTGTGTGTGTGTGTGTGTGTGTGTGTGTGTGTGTGCGCAGAGTTGCGACTGTCGAGCACATTCCAGCTGGAAACACCGAGACGTTTGAGTTCCAGCCGGTTCAGGGCAGATTCCTCAACATTGTACTGCCTGGTGTAAACGTTTACCTCACTCTGTGTGAAGTGCAGGTGTTCACAGGTGAGAGAGGACACTGACAAACTGTGTGTGTGTGTGTGTGTTTTGCTGTAATGATGTTCTGATCTCTTTGTCAGACTGAGGACTGAGCTGAAGCGGATCACAGAAACAGGAATACACAGCAGACTCAGTTTGGCTCGAATCTTCCAGTTTCTGCTAATGTTGTAATAAAGATGAGTGTCTGAGAGCTGTTTCAGTGCAAGCTTCATTCATGACTACACCTCTCTACACAGCTTTACTGAACACTGCTGCTGTAATGAGCGTGAGATAGAGCCTGCATTAATCAAGCATCTTACTCAATATGAACTCCTGTCCTCGTCTCCTCGACAGGGAATGTGAGTTCTTAAACATTCTTTATAGAGCTGCTTATTGATATATGGTGACTAGGGGTCAAACATAACACAGAAAATACAAGTATATACTCACAGTTGAAAGCAGAAGTCTACATACACTCCAACATAAATGAACATAACCATTTTTAAATGTCTGATGGTAAATGACACTAAATGTTCACTATTTCAGGTCTGTCAGGATTACCTAAATGATTTACATTTTCTAAATGCCAGAATAAAAGGAGAATATTTTATTTATTTCTAGACAGTCAGAAGTTTACACACATTTCCATGGTATGTTTTTAGTTTTGCTTTTAAACTGTATAACTTTGGTCAGATGTTTTGGGTCTCCTTCACAAGCTTCTCACAGTAGTTTGCAGGAGTTTTGGCCCATTCCTCCTGCAGAATTGCTGTAACTGAGTCAGATTTGTGGGCTGTCTTGCTCGCACAAGCTTTTTCAACTCTGCCCACACATTCTCTATAGGATTGAGGTCAGGGCTTTGTGATGGCCACTCCAAAACATTCACTCTGTTGTCCTTAAAGCACATTTGAACAGATTTGGCAGTGTGTTTAGGGTCATGGTCTGTCTGGAAGACCCATTTGTGGGCAAGTTGTAATGTCCTGGCTGATGTGTTGAGATGTTGCTTCAGTATTTCTCCATAATGTTCTGTCTTCATGATGCCATCTATGCTGTGAAGTGGACCAGTCCCTCCTGCAGCAAAACAGCCCCACAACATGACGCTGCCGCCCCCATACTGCACAGTTGGGATGGTGTTCTAGGCTTGTGCGCTTTCCTGTTTGTCCTCCAGATGTAACACTGCTCATTATGGCCAAACAGTTCAATCTGGACATCTCTCCACACATTAGTCTTTCCCCAGTGTCGTTCAGCTAATGGTAATCTGGCTTTGCTGTTGATTCTGGCTTGTTGATTTTCCCATGTTGTGTTTGAGCTTTTCCTGCAACACTATTCTACAGTTGTGCCTCACATTAACTCAAATGTTGTCAATCAGCCAATCAGAAACCTCCAAAACCCTGACATCATCATCTGAGCTTTACAGAGGCAGAATAATCTTATTGTGTGTAAACTTGACTTTCAACAAGAGTTATAACAATTCCTCAAATTTCTCTCTCTCATTATTCTGCTGTTGAGCAGAACAGAAACACATGATCATCCTGACTTACCTTCAAGAGAAACAGTTTAGTCACATGAACAGCTGACTTTATAAAAGTGGTGATGTGGCTTTTATTCAGTGATGTACACTTCTGCTTTTAACTGTAAGCGTTTCTTTAAAGCAGGGCTGCCCAAACCTTTTTGTTTGAAGGGCCAAAAACCAAATATCAATGTGAGCCATGGGCTAAAGGTAAATAAACCAAACTATATTACATTAAAGTTGCCACGGCTAATTTCCAGATATATTTATTTAAGTAAATTATCATTAAATATTTTTAATATTTAAAAAAAAATGAAATATTACTTTACATTGTAATATCTAATGCAGTATATGCAGGGTTCATACGGTTCGGGAAAACCTGGAAAAGTCATGAAATTTGGAAAAAGCATTTTCCAGGCCTGGACAAATAAACAAATAAACCCAAAATGTTTTGTAAGAGTCATGAGAATTTGTTTAACAGTGATCTGTGTACTTGAATATATTCGAGATGAACTTGACTTATACTTATGACACTATGTTTGATGGGTAAACTTGAAATAAATAAAATAGATGAATAAAGCAATAGCTTAAAAGAGCAATAGCAGTTTTAGCTTCGCTCTCCTTCTTGCTGCCGCTGTAACTCGATGCATGTTGAGTGTGTGTCCAGAAACCATCTCTAACTGCAGTGAGAAGATACTGTCAGTGCTAAAGGCTAATTAGCACTAATCTTAAGTCTAATGAAAACACAAGCCAACATTATACAATTTTCAGGAAAATACTTTTTAAAAACTATTTTACAGATAAAAATAAATAAATATTAACTTCATGGATTGTCATGGTTTTTGATATGCTGTAATCTGAACATGCATTTTTTTCTTATTTATCACGTGCACATACATGAAACGAAACAAGATCATCAATATTTACCTTAAAGTTTTGGAAAAGTCATGGAATTATAGAAATAAAAATGTGTATGAACCCTGAGTATAATGTTTACAATAACACTGTGGAGTTCAATGCTGAATTCATGTAACTGAGGCCAGCTATAAGAGCTGTGCATGTAAACCTCACTCCTCTGACCTCTAAAGCTGCTCTAGCGACAAACGGTACAGTTTGTGGTCTTTAGCCTACTTGGTAGAGCAACTGACTAACCATACGGAAAGTTGCTGGCTCGATACCAGCTTGGAGTGAGTTGGGTGTTGTTGGACCAGCAGGGTTACATCAAGACTAATCTGACTGCAAAGACTTTGGTAATCAAGTCATTGAATTATAGTAGTAAAAGTGTGGATGAACCCTGAGTATAACGTTTAAAATAACACTGGAGTTCAATGCTGAATTCATTTGTCAAGATGAGTCTGACTGCAAAGACTTTGGTGATCAAATCCAGTCATTGTCAGGTGACAGTCTGTACATTTAAACAAAATCTGAATAATTTGCTCCATTTAATTGAAGCATTTAATTTAGGTTAGCTTTTAACAAACAAACAAAGGGTTACATTACATTTGAACTGATAATCCCTAAACCATCCGCATCATTCTCAGATGGTAAAACTTTGGCCTGCGGGCTCGACTTTGTGCTTTAAAGCTTTAGTGACAACATTAATGTCGAAATATGAGTGAAATAATGTTCATCATTCAGATCATACTCATTAAACACTCGCTGTACTTATTAAAGTACGTTAAAGAGTGAGTGTATTAAATCTGATTGTGTGTGAAATGAAGAAGAACTGTGATGAAGAATGAAGATTTCAGAGTCGAGACAAACCTGTGATTCTTAAAGAGTCTTTTAATGTCAAAGTGATTGTTGTACTTTTCCACAGACACCAGTAAACTCAAATCACAATTGATCAGCTCTCTTCTGGAATTGGTGAATTGCATCACAGTCATTATCTCCAATAACCCAGCAAGTTGACCGAGACCTTCTGAAGTAAGAGCTGTGAAGAGTTGAGTCAGTGGTGTTTTGGGGAACTGCAGGACTCTGCTGCTGGAGATAAGGAGATTCTGCACATTCATCATCATCATGAAACAGCTCTGAGCTGCTGAAGATCTTAATCTGATCTTACTACACTGAAACACATTGACAAATACTGTCACTGTTTTCTGTACACTGCTCAAACACTGCAGCACAGGCTTATCTTAGTTTAATTTATCTGCAGCATTTCATGGACAAGCCAAACATATGATCTTGTTTTCAGAAATGATCATTTAGAAGAGAGTTTTTCCCTAAAAAGGTAAAGAAAAGAGAAAAGGGTAAGAGAAAAGATCTTGTTTTCTTTATGACGCAAGATTATTCTGCTTACTTCAGTTTTGCTTGTTTTAATGAGAAACTCTCTTTATTTTGACTCATTATTACTGAAAACAAGCCTATAGATGTTTTTCTTGTCTAGAAAATGCGGACTGATTTTAGTATTTTAGATATTTTGGACTGGAAACAAGACTAAAACTCAGCAAGAAAAGCATTTTTGCAGTGCAAAGTGAACCAATGGAAGAAGTTTTAATGTCAACAGGGTTTGGCAGTAATTCAGTGAATTAATCAATGCTTCCAGTTAGTAATACAGGATAATGTTTCACTCTGGGTTGAAATGCTGTCAGCATCAGATCATTTTCTCTTATTATGATTCAGTATTTCTACATTATTAATAGTACATCACTACTTCTGTGAAGTTGTTAAAGTAGTTTCAGGATTAGTTATATTTCCCCTGATCAGTGTAGTACAGTACAGTTAGCACTGTTACTGTGTGATTGTGGTGAGTAAAGTGTTGAAAAGGTTCGGGCTCGTCCGGGATTTGAACCCGGGACCTCTCGCACCCTAAGCGAGAATCATACCCCTAGACCAACGAGCCTGACAGAAGAAAACTGCACAACTCCAGAACTCAGACTGACACGTCTCAACCTAAATTACATCTGCATGGAGCTGAGAGAGACAGGGAATCTGCGCATGCGCGGCCTGTAGGCTGCTCCACCCAGCGGACACACCGAGCACTGCTGGCTCCAAACTCTGCATTTCTGTAAGCTCCCGCATGTGAAATACTGTAGTCATTTATAGTGTTTTTGATCCATATATATATCACTGTATATATTATAGTATCCCTACAACTCTTTGTTAATGAATGCAATGTTAATGAAATTGGTAAACGTATAAATACTGCAGTGTACTGGGCTTTTACTACAGTAAACTGTGGTGTACTGTAGTAGAATATACCCTCTAGTTGTAGAAAACTACGTGTACGCTCATTTGTTTATATTAGTTCTTATATTACCATAGCAACTGTAGAATTAACTCAAAGATCAAATACTTTGTTACCATAGCAACTGAATCACCACAACAGATCAATTACTTCAGCTGATGTGTTACCATAGCAACTGTAGAATCACCACAGCAGATTGATTCAAGTGCTTTACTATAGTACTGCTCAAAAACACTACAGTGTTTACTATAAGTGTGAGCCAATATAATCCAAGTACTGTGTTTCAGATATATTTCATATTTCAAAATGAGTGAAATGATGTTGAAATAGTGGCAGAGGTCATGAGGAGAGCTCCTGCTGTGTGTGTGTGTGTGTGTGTGTGTGTGTGTGTGTATGTGTGTGTGCGCTTGTGTGTGTGTCTCAGTTGTTCTGTGGCTCTGTGTGTTTGACAGAGTTGCAGATCTCCAGCACAGCCCGGTTGAAGTCCTCCGGCTGGTCAGCGAACACGTAATGACCAGCGCCCTGAATCACCTGCAGGAGCACACACACACACACACACACACACACACACACACACACACACACACACACACACACACACACACACACACACACACACACACAGACACACACACACACAGACACACACACACACACACAAACACACACACACACACACACACACACACACACACACACACACACACACACACACACACACACACACACACACAGAGGTTTCATCATTCACACGGTTTGCTGAAGAGTTTCATGTCAACAGTAGAGATCAGTCAGATAATATATGAGATGAAGCCACAACCCTACATCAATACTCCACTCTGGAATGAATTGTGTACAGCTTTAGCAACACTCTAGAAATGCTTATTTGGATTAACCCAATTCTGGGCTGATTAAGTTAACTTGAGTTCAGTTTAACCCAGTCATGGCCGGTCATGCAGACACTCACTATGACTTCAGTGTGTGATCCGGGCCGCATTTCCTGCAGGATTCTTCCTGATTGTCCGTCAATGCAGGAGCGAGAGCCGTAGATGAAGCTGATGGGCAGAGACGGGCTGATCTTATCCATTCGCTCGAGCAGGGGGTGCTGGGGCCACCCGTATGGGACTGTCATGTTCTTAAAGCCCACCTCTCCACTGCACACATACAGCACAGGACATCTGAGAACACCTGTGAACACTTATGAACACCTGTGAACATCTGTGAACATCTATGAAGACATGTGAGCATCTATGAACATCCATGTACACCTGTGAACATCTATGAAGACATGTGAACATCTATGAAGACAAGTGAACATCTATGAACATCTATGAACACCTGTGAACATCTATGAACATCTATGAACACCTGTGAACACCTATGAAAATCTATGAACACCTGTGAACATCTATGAACATCTATGAACACCTGTGAACATCTATGAACACCTGTGAACATCTATGAACACCTGTGAACATCTATGAACACCTGTGAACATCTATGAACACCTGTGAACATCTATGAACACCTATGAACACCTGTGAACATCTATGAACATCTATGAACACCTGTGAACATCTATGAACATCTATGAACACCTGTGAACATCTATGAACACCTGTGAACATCTATGAACACCTGTGAACATCTATGAACACCTATGAACACCTGTGAACATCTATGAACATATATGAACACCTGTGAACATCTATGAACACCTGTGAACATCTATGAACATCTATGAACATCTATGAACATCTATGAACACCTGTGAACATCTATGAACATCTATGAACACCTGTGAACATCTATGAAGACATGTGAACATCTATGAACATCTTTGAACACCTGTGAACATCTATGAACATCTATGAACACCTGTGAACATCTATGAAGACATGTGAACATCTATGAACACCTGTGAACATCTATGAACATCTATGAACACATGTGAACACCTATGAACATCTATGAACACCTGTGAACATCTATGAACATCCATGTACACATATGAACATCTATGAACACCTATGAACATCTGTGGACATCTATGAACACCTGTGAATGCCTATGAACACTGCGTCTGCGTCTGCTGGATGGGAGAGTTGAGCTGTACCTGGCCGTCTGTGTGTTGATGTGGTAAATGTAGTCCGGCACAGTGTTGTCAGAGAACAGAGCAGAGTATTTCTGCTTGAAGTCTGAGCGCAGCAGCTGCAGCAGCAGAGGACCTGCACCACAAACAGCTCACTTTAACACTCGCAGCATGGTCATTCATTTACCGTTAGTTTGCTGTGAGGGAATGATGCGCAAAAAGGAAGCCCCGCCCCCTACTCAATATTCAGATTCTGTTGTAAGTACATCAACATACTGAAATCCTCCACAACTTCCAGACCACGCAGACTTATTACTGCAATGAACAACAGTGCATGTTACACCTCATCTGAGTATTTGAGCTTGATGTCAGTGTCGGGTAATGATTGACAGATGTTGGGTCTGTTTCTCACCCAGGGGTCCCGCAAGCCGCAGCAGAGCCAGAGGGTTGAACGGATTCATAGCAGCTCCGAACACTTTAATCCAGAAGGGAACCCAGCGCTCCGGGGCACTGGGTCTGGCGGAGAAACCCCACGGCTCCACCAGAATCAGGTGCTTCACTCTGAGCAAACAGACATACAGCATTCATACAGCATTCATAAAGCAGACCCAGAGCAATCATACAGCAGACATAGAGCATTCATAAAGCATTCATACAGCAGGCATAAAGCATTAATAAAGCATTCACACAGCAGACCTAGAGCAGACACAGAGCATTCATACAGCAGACATAGAGCATTCATAAAGCATTCATACAGCAGGCATTGAGCATTCATAAAGCATTCATACAGCAGGCATAATGCATTCATAAAGCATTCATACAGTAGACATACAGCATTCATTCAGCAGACATAGAAAATTCATTTAGCATTCATACAACAGGCATAGAGCATTCATAAAGCATCCACACAGCAGACCTAGAGTAGACACAGAGCATTCATACAGCAGTCATAGAGCATCCATAAAGCATTCATACAGCAGGCATAAAGCATTAATAAAGCAGTCATACAGCAGGCATAGAGCATTCATAAAGCATTCACACAGCAGACCTAGAGCAGACACAGAGCATTCATACAGCAGACAAAGAGCATTCATAAAGCATTCATACAGCAGGCATAGAGCATTCATAAAGCATTCATACAACAGGCATAGAGCATTCATAAAGCATCCACACAGCAGACCTAGAGTAGACACAGAGCATTCATACAGCAGACAAAGAGCATTCATAAAGCATTCATACAGCAGGCATAGAGCATTCATAAAGCATTCATACAGTAGACATACAGCATTCATTCAGCAGACATAGAAAATTTATTTAGCATTTATACAACAGGCATAGAGCATTCATAAAGCATTCACACAGCAGACCTAGAGTAGACACAGAGCATTCATACAGCAGACATAGAGCATTCATAAAGCATTCATACAGCAGACATAGAGCATTCATAAAGCATTCATACAGCAGGCATAGAGCATTCATACAGCTGACATAGAGCATTCATAAAGCATTCATACAGCAGGCATAGAGCATTCATAAAGCATTCATACAGCAGGCATAGAGCATTCATACAGCTGACATAGAGCATTCATAAAGCATTCATACAGCAGGCATAGAGCATTCATAAAGCAGTCATACAGCAGGCATAGAGCATTCATACAGCTGACATAGAGCATTCATAAAGCATTCATACAGCAGGCATAGAGCATTCATAAAGCATTCATACAGCAGGCATAGAGCATTCATAAAGCAGTCATACAGCAGGCATAGAGCATTCATACAGCTGACATAGAGCATTCATAAAGCATTCATACAGCAGGCATAGAGCATTCATAAAGCATTCATACAGCAGGCATAGAGCATTCATAAAGCAGTCATACAGCAGGCATAGAGCATTCATACAGCTGACATAGAGCATTCATAAAGCATTCATACAGCAGGCATAGAGCATTCATAAAGCAGTCATACAGCAGACTGATTGTTAATCTACCAATGAGGTAAGCAGAATAATCTTGTGTTCACACACACACACACACACACACACACACAAACACACCCACACACACACACACACACACACACACACACACACACACACACACACACACACACACACACACACACTGACCGCTGTGGGTAAGCGAGTGCGTACGCAGCGGATATGTACGCTCCCAGATGGTGTCCCAGCAGGATCATGCTCTCCACCCTCTGCTGGCTCCTCCAGTGCTCCAGCGCCTCCAC